GTGTGTTTTTTTTTTTTTTTTTTTAAGGGGTAACTACAGGACACCAACTAAGGCTGTGACTGGACAAATAAGGCGGTATGCACTGTTAAAAAATGACTATGCGACAAAAAGAACCCCACATGCGTGACATATGAGGTTTTATTTTTGGACCACATCTGTTCTCACAGCAAATAGTATGTTAGCACTATTGTGTCTGTCTTGAACTCTACACCTAGAAAGAAAGTAATACCTGTAAACAAAAAGAGGGCGCAGACCATCTCCCCAAGTATTTCTAAAGACAAGGAGAACTAATGGAACAAGGACAAGGAGCTAGTGAAGCTAAGACAGTAATTCACTTCTTAGAAATTCTGCAGTGCTTAGAATTAAGAGCACAGGGACAAGGACAGTGGATCAGGAATCAACTTCCCTTGTGTATTGTTCTTGAAGGGAACATTTCCTACAAGCTGCCAGCAGATACTTCACTGGGCGTCTTGTCCCCTAGAATGATCTGTTTGGTTGTCCTTTTGCCTTTACTTACCACAGACTACACCACTGGCTGGTCATAATAACCACCTGTTTTACAGTTAAAAGTAAAATCCTATTCTCTCTTGACAAAGGTTCATGGAAAAGTATGTTTCACTTTGTACATCCTAAATAGCACCACAGAGGAGGTACAAAACACACCTTCAGACCTTTCTCATGACAAGCACAGTCCCAGGTTTGTCCGTATAGTCTCAGCTTTTCACAGAGCATCTCTAACACATCTGCTGGAACACCCACAATATTTTTTTCACGCTTCTAATCAAAACTTTCGCTTAATGTTTATAACCACAAACCATTTGTCCAAGCTGGATTGCAAAACCAGGTACAATATATCTGCATTTACCCAGGACAAACAGTGAAGCAGAAGAAAGTTTTGGCAGAGGGCAGATTTTCCCCCTTTGTGGTATTCATTTCATGTGGCAGGGATCCATGTAATAACAAGTAACCAGAGTAAGGGAGAAAAGGCAGGTGGACACAAGACTATTTTGTTTTCCTTCACTGTTAAGGTGAATGTTAATGCCACCTGTCCAACACTGCATGCCATCCTTATTCACAACTTCAAGTCACTTGAAGAAAAAGCTCTGTATAAGCAGTAAGCGTTATTGGTAAATGAGAAACTCAAGGTCGTGGCAACAGTGCTCTTTAAAAATAGAGGAGAGTAAGCATAAAGTTAGAACAGAGTTCAAAAAACATGAAAAGAGAAGGAACAAATGACAGGACACAAAACAGATTGCAGGATTAAAAAAAGTTTCAAGAAAAAAGGCAAAAGCTAAAAGATGATTGGATCAATGAGAGAGGTTTGGAGACGAGGGAAGAGACTGAAGTAAAAAAAAAAGTGAGCAAAATCTAAGAGGAGAGGAAGGAGCTGAATGGGAACTAGTATTATGGAAGACTATGAACAGAGACATGAAGTAACGGGGAGAAAAGCAGAACAAAAATCACTTTAAATTGATTAACTTTTGAACTTTACAAGAAAGTCTGATGCTAGACTACTAGATAATAAAAAAATAAAATTTTTCAGCTAGAATTTCAGAGAATTAATTATGGAGGATTATGAATGCCTGGAAAGAGGGAAACTGCTTCTGCTCTCAGCTGCATCAAAAGAAATCCAGGGTAACTGAAAGTACAATAACGTGTAACAGACAGAATTCTTACTATCCTGTTGCATGGTGCTGCATTTGTATTTCTGCAATAAAACTGCAATTGTGGGACCCATGAAATCAGCTGACAAGAGGTTTGATACTAATAATGACGACTCAATGAATTTTCACCATTTTCGTCATCACGTGTAAATAACATTTATGCCACTGCCTCCCAAAAAAACAGTAACAAGCAAGAAATCTTCCTATATAACCAGTAAAATTCAAGCTTGTAGCTATTGTCTCTCTTCCAGGTGCTAGACTTCTCTGTCACTGGCTGAAGATGCAACAATTATAGGGGAGTGCCAAAGGATAAGCAGAGGGAAAGTGATTAAGTACCTAAAAACTGGCAGTTGCTCTCTGTGCAGGTTATCTAAGTTCAGAGAACGTGACCAAAAACTGCACATAAAAGTGCTGCTGCTATGACCTGCCACTTTTATGCCTTCCCCTCACGACAATCTAACTGCCTAGCTGCATGTTTATATAGTACACAATGCCGCTAAGAAGGACTGGCAAAGTAAACTAAAAAAGGAAAGTTAATTAGACTGACCTTTAAATCTCTTGAATCTGCTCTACTTAGTACTAATGTATTAAAATAGAGTTGCATCATTTCTTGGAGGTTACTAATGCTGGTGTATCATCAATATTTAAACAACTAACATGAAGCAAACAAATTAAAAAATCAGCCTGAATTGTGCTGTTCAACCAAATTTGCCATTAATTACCAAATACTTACAATCATCAGGCAAAACTTCCTTGAACTGCTCAAAATACGAATTCAACCGCACTAAGCTTTCCATGTTAATTACTTCTTGCAGTGAGGTGTCTCCAAACCTTTAAAAGGTGAAGAAAGGAACAGTTAAGCCCAAGGAAGAGTTAAGCTCAAAGAAAAAGGTTTCTCCTCTTCTTCGAAGCAACTGCACTTGGCAATGACTACCAGCAAACAGTTTAAAGATTCATCCCATGAAATTCCTAACCATTCAAACGCAGAGTAAAGTGTAACAGAGAAGTGTTGTAGTGATTCATTACAGAAAAAGAAAATATATGAGTGTGAGGGGAAAAGTGGGAAGGAAGGTGAAAGAAAAATCTTGTAGATTTAGTACTTAAAAGAATAGTACTTAAAATCTTTTGGCTTTTGTGTCTCTCTTTCAATATTAAATACCCATATGATAAATCATTTTGCCAAAATTCAAACTTTTAATAATGTATTTACTAGTTTAGCTCATAAGCTAATAATAACCATAACATCAGTGGATAGGATTGAGAACTTTGACTTCAGATATGTAAATGAGAAATATGGATCTAGGAGTAATAAACCATGAATATAATAAATATTGTCAACAATGCCATGATTCATCTCATCTAACTATGTCTACGTACACAGATACACACACACAGTGTTGACATCTGTAACTATGCTTGTCACCTTGGGCTCCCTTTATAGGCAATAGAGGACAACAGTAACTGCTGGAATGCCTTTGTTAGACTTTTTCTAGTCTAACATACTAGAATATGTTAGTCTAGTCATACTGCACACTCCACCCCGGTGCCAAGGCTGCTGTCACAACATGCATGTGTCTGACTTCACTGGAATTCTCCATTAGAACAGTGCTTTGTCAATGTATTCTTTACAGGATATGGCCATAACAGAGGGAAGCTCTGGTGGCTCTTCCAAAATGGAACAGTTTCCCTAGCATATATAATTACGTAATTATATTTTTCAGCTTTACAAGAACAGGGTTGCATTACATAAATACTGCAACGATATGTTAAAACAAAGGTCCATCTAGCCCATTACCCTCTTTTTTGACAGTGGCCAGAAGAGGGAGTCTAGGGGAGAGTGCAAAACCAAGAGGGCAAATACACAGCGACACTCAGAATGATCTCTCAGCCTCTAGTGATCTGCCACTCACAGAGGTCTCGAGTCTCAAGCAGCGCCTCTGTGTTAAATAGCCCATGATAGATTACCTCTTTTGTAAATTCACTTCCGAACCACATAAACCTGCACTAGACTCAAACCCATGAGGTAAGGAGCTCTACCGCTATGTGCCATATGAAGAAGGACCTCCTTTCATTTGTTTTGCATTTGACAGCTTCATTTAGTATTCCCTTGTTCGTGTACTGGAGAAACTGAATCACCATCAGTAATGCAGCAGTGCAACTCCATAGAGACATACTTCCATCAGAACGAGAGACTGCTGAACTGCCATTAAGGTTGAGCTTGCATGACTGAATACATACTTCTCTGCTAGGGTTTGCTGCTCGTTGATTCCCACATTGAAAAGAACAGGCTGAACCCTCAGTAACATGCCACTTTGAATCTCTCGCGGCAACAAATCAAACAAGGCGCTTGGCAAAGGGATCCTCACATTAAATCCATCACTGCAAATAAATAAACAGCTATTAGACATAAAGATCAAAAAGCTAAATTCTGAGAATGTGTTATTTATGTAAAGAGGGATAACATCTAGAACATAATATGTCTATTAAAAAATAAGTATCAGTCAAAACTGAGGACTTAAAGGAACTGTCACAGCTTGCTCCTAATCAGAAAAGTTATTCTAGTTCAGAAACAAACCTGCAGCAACCTGTAGTGTTGATTTTACATCCTCATGGACATTTCAATCAGATCTGCTGATTTCCTGACAAAACCTGATTTTGCTCTGCTCATTAATATTGCAGCTCTTGTACAACTAGAGTAGAAAAAGCCAAATATTGGCATGTTCCCATCTCATCAAGAGTAAAGTATATTTGATTTTAAAGTGATAAAGGCTAATGATGATGCACATGCATAAAAGGATACATTTTTGGATACAGTAAGTAGTACTGACGTTTCTGAGCAGAAGGATAGAGGCAATGATAGTAGCAACCCAAGCATAAATTGAAGGGGGAGCTAACAAAAGCACTGATACAGAACTTTATGACTCAGACCTACAAGCTGTTCCTGCAGCACAACAGGTTACCTTGGGTCAGCTGAGCTACAGCGAAGAGCACTGTGTATGCTTTATCTCATGGCAAATGTGAGGTAATGCAACTTATCTTATCCCATAACATCAGTGCAGACTAAGGTATGTTATATTACCCTATGTTGGAACTGCCAAGACACAAGTTGCCGTGGTTTGTGTGCTGTGTGTTAACCTATCAGCAGCAATACCTTGGTGTTACATCCAAGTCTTTACAGTGCAGAACTCTCAAGTACAGCATATACTCTCAAGTACAGCAAAAGAGCTCTGAGAAGTATATAATAAGGTAATCAAAATTGGTCTGTCCCACATTTACATTGGATGGACACACAAATCCTATGCTATGTCTGAAAGCAAAAAAACCTATTTTCAACGCTAACTGTAAAGCTTCCAATAGTTTGCACCAAAATAAATACGCATGATTTCTTTCTTCTCTTTCTTCTCTTTCTTCTCTTTCTTATGTTATATTACCCTATGTTGGAACTGCCAAGACACAAGTTGCCGTGGTTTGTGTGCTGTGTGTTAACCTATCAGCAGCAATACCTTGGTGTTACATCCAAGTCTTTACAGTGCAGAACTCTCAAGTACAGCATATACTCTCAAGTACAGCAAAAGAGCTCTGAGAAGTATATAATAAGGTAATCAAAATTGGTCTGTCCCACATTTACATTGGATGGACACACAAATCCTATGCTATGTCTGAAAGCAAAAAAACCTATTTTCAACGCTAACTGTAAAGCTTCCAATAGTTTGCACCAAAATAAATACGCATGATTTCTTTCTTCTCTTTCTTGAGTAAAATCTAGACAGCAAAATAATAAGCAACACTATCAGACCTAAAACTAATGAAGACTGGTTCCCTGCTGATTAGTGTCCTATAGCTGATGGCAAGTTTCAACTAAAGATTTTCCTTGAAAGGAATTTTCTGTCAGCTGTCAGCCATTTCCACAGGTCTCAGCAATTTCCATAACATACACGATTGTACTACAGACCTCCTTCACCCAGGGAACTTTTCATTGCATGTGAACCTTAACTTAACAAAGTTCCTCTAAATGTTTTTATCTTTGAGAATTCTATCTCTTTTTCAGATGTGGAGGAAGCTGGGCAAAGCTCCAGTGGAGCTCGGTACAGCACACTGTAATCGAATAAGCCTTATTTCCTCCAGAAATCAGATTTGAAACTAAAAGATTCTAAAGACTCTGAAATACAGAAACATTAAAACATTGACTTTCATGAGGCCTCTGTCCTTCCACAGCTTCATCCTCATCTGGGAACTGGCTCCCTCTGGGCAAGAACTCTATCGCAGGGGCCCATCAGCCCCATATCAGCTGCAAGGCCAGCTGATAAGCAGGCTGAGGCATTCAAATTGAAGTGTGACTCTGTTTGCTGTAAATGCTTCCCATCATAATAAAGCTGTAACAGATCACTCCCACTCCACTTTATGTGAGGATGTGAATGTTTGTTACTTCAGACTTTTAAAACAAAAATTGCTTTTAAGCTCAAACTTGAAAATATCTCTTTTCAGACAAGTGGCCAAAATGAGCAGCAGTCTAGTGTTTCACAAGCATCTGTAAGTTAAAGCCAGCTTGGCCCTGATAGTTTGGAAATTGATCCTAAATAGGCCTCACCTCAGCAGCAGCCCATCAACTGCCTGATACATGTTCCAAGTCCCGTTGTGCTAACGGTGGCCCATTACTCAGTGGCATACAGTAAAGCACTGACCAACTGATCAACAGCAGTGAATTTCAGACAATGAGCTCAGCCTCAAAAGTCAGTCTGAAGTTTAAGAACAGCACAAGTGCTTAAGAAAAGATTGAATACTTCTGGCTTATGATTGTGGAAGGCTAGGTCAAGATGATATTTATTCATAAAACAATACTGCCATGGTTTGAGCCTTGCCATATATCCCTTTTCAGCTTAGCTCCCTGTAAAATGAAACATCAGTAAAAATAAGTAAGTCCACTTCAAAACATTTCTTCGAAGTTCTGAGGAGAGAAAGAGCACAGTACAAAAGCACATAATTAATTTCAAGTGCAGTATCACTGCTTCTCCCATCTGCAGTCCCACCCCACTTCCTGCTCCTCCCTCCCCACTTTTTTTTACCGATTTCCAGTGATGACCGGCAGCATGTCAGTAGACGTATTTGATGTGGCCTGAGTTACTTTAAAGGTTACATTCCTCAAGTCCATGATTCCCAAACTCATGTCCTCCAGCATTGCCAGCTCCTCGCCTAAATCAAGGAGGAAAAAGTGAATCACAATCATTACTTGTTACGTACAACTTCCCTTTATCAATTTGACGCTGACTGTAGGTCATTGGTCTCATAAATAAGTTCTATGGATGAAGAGGCTCTGGAGCCCAGGCCTTCACCTTGACCTACAGACTGCAGACAATGTCATGACTGACTTTATGAGTTCAGCAAGTTTGGAAAACACCGATGATCTAGCACAGTCCAGACTACTGTTGTTCAAGTAGATTATATGCTGAATTTCCAATATAGATGATGCTAGTAAGTACTTCTCAGCATTGTCACAGCCATGATATCCTTTGTGTTGGAAAAGTGTGTTGGAAAAGTTACACAGTATTCCGGATTTGCTCACTTTGTACTGTAGGATTACAGGAGGTCAAGAAAATTAAAAAAGCCTATTTTGGGCACAGTTTCTCCCAGTTTACCAGAATTTTAATCCATTTCTTTTCTGAAAAAACGATCAATATGTTCCTTTTTTTTTAAACCTTTGACATTATCTTATAAGGCAAGTACACGTTATCTTTTAGAAGCAATTCAATTAAATGCGAAGAAATTCAGAGTTGTTAGCTAATTAAGTACTCCAGATATAATCTGGTTTTGCATTTCAGTTTTCAAAATCATTTTGTAGCTTAGCTGCAGATTGTCCCAAACACTCATGTTCTGCTGCAGCCAATTTAAAGCAGAATTTGCTGACTCAACAGCTAATACCACCCACTGGCCCTGTGCCTTTACCGTAAGTGCTCAGCAGGCTCTCAAACTGCGCCAGCAAGCCAATGGTGTAGAGTTGTCTTAGAAATCCATCATCATGCAGGCAGTTCCTCAGCTTGATAATGAAACCACAAATGAGAGCTGTCAGCTGTGGGAGAGAAAACAGACAAGAGTGAAATGATTCAAGACAAAAAAGGCTCTTCAGCCCCAAACAGAAACAGTATCACATATAAGAGGTGCATAAAATCTGTCAGACTGATGCTCTTTTCCCTTAAATGTCACTCTTCTTTTCCTTGCAGCTGAAGAGAGACAACCAACCAGCAAAAAACCAAAACATTCATAAAACGAGATTTAGGGCACACTACCTTCAGCTGGCAAGCTCTCCCAAAATGGGACTGGTATTGATCTTGCATCTATTTGTTTTCTGGACACAATCACTTGTATTAGGGTCTACAACTTACGAATTACAAGAGTCTCCTTGGAGAATTGTTTTAGCTACAGATGGAAAAGCAACACAACTAGTTCCAGGCCATGAATTTGATAGTATGAATAAATGATTTGGTTTTTTTTAAAATGACATTTTAAGAAAGCTTAAAAATGCAATACCTGTTTGCATTATGCAAAGATTCAAACTCTAGTGTTACAAGATATTCAGGACAAGGTCCTGAAGACCTAGTACTAAGATCAGTACTAAGATCTAAGATTAGTACTAGTCTTAATTCACTCTGTCAACAAAGGACTTTCCCAAGTGATTGCCATATGCTATGTACACAGGTGTATGACTGTTACAGAATTAAACAAAAGGGAATAAAGTTCTGTTTATGATGGGTAAACGTATTCAAAGCATTGAGTTTAAAAATTATCTGCAATATGAGGTGGGTTTTGTATAGAAAAATTCCTTTAATTTATCTCTATGAGATATGACATGTTGGGACAACAGCCCTACCAATGTCCAAGAGATAAGCTGTTCGAAACAAATGAACGAGCTACTGATTTCACGGGGAAGTAGACACACTACAGAAGTGTAGTGGGCAGAAGAAACGTGGAAGGTTTTTTAGTGCAGACACCTGCTAGTCAGTGGCTGACAGGAGATCCCAGCAGGCTCAGAAACAGAACTTCTAGGAAAAAAACCCAAAAACCAGCACTCATTTCTCTCCCTGTAGCTGGACTTCTCTCCTTAGGTACCACAGGTCCTGTTGGTTTTCTTGATGCAGAAAACAACAAAAGGTAACCAAGGGAGTACACTTTCTGCTCATGGGCTTTTCGCCCCCCCCCTTTCACATCTTGCTTCTGGTTTTAGTTTGGTGGCATTGGAAGGCAAATGTTGTTTCTGTAGACAGCGGTATATTTTTACTAGTTCTGGAATTTTTTTTTTTTTTAAATAGTGAACATATATCCAAGGGGACACTTAAGTTATATATTGTCAAATGCATGTTAGTGATCAGCAAGGACAGGATAGCACAGCCTGTGAGAGGAGATCACATTGTTAAACCAGAGACTAGAACAGATCTGAAAAATTCTGAAAACAGTAATCTTTCATATTTCATATAAACCCCACCACGTGTCAAAGTGCAATCATATTTGCTTGCTTACAGTTTGGCAGAAGACAACATCCCTGCGATACTGAAGGCTCAGGCAGAGCCCTATTGTCGGGGCGCTGTCCTGCATTAATAAAAAGACCATGGCTTTCTTTGCCTTGTCACTCATCATGGCTACACAGTCTGTGAGTGTTGTCAGCAAGGGATAAAGAGCTTCGCTCCATTCGCCTGGTTGAAAGAAAAAAAATAGCAGCGCTGTAAGTACTTTGTTTGAAACAAACAAACATGCATTAAGAAGAAACTTCCTGTTGCAAGTCAAAGTTGTTGATAATTCACATTTAGGGCTTGTTTTATTTTGGCTGGCTGGTCACTCCCTGCTTGTTATTAATTAAGTAATCTTACAGAGTGGTTATCGCATGAGGAAAATATGGAGAATTTTACTCTGTAAGGCTGTTACGACTTTCCTGACCACGTAATAGCTCCCAGATTTGTGCCCAGAACAGGCTATACAATAGCTGATTTGGAAAGCATAACAGAAAGATGAATAGCTATATACACAAATGTATACCACTGCGTGTGCATGTTCAAACACACCCTTTCACAGTGCATACAGGGACAGACAGTATGGAGTCCATCGTATAACGGAAATAATGAACATTTGCTTAGCCATTTCTGTCAATGAGATTTCTCCCAAATATCTTGCCTTCGAATCTTTTGTGGACTCATAGGTGTATCATTCAACTGCCTCACCATCTTATTGATCCTTGTTGCACCTCAGTGAGGTAAGACGATGCTTATCTCCCATTTGCAGCATAGGAACAGTAAGGCAGAGAGTTGAAAAATTCATGCAGATACTTTAAGTGTCCTCTGTCTGCTGAGTGGCTTTGAAGGCTTAGAGCTAGCAGCAAGAAACACTAAGTATAGTGATTTAGATGGGAGTTAGCCAGATCCTTGGAAGTCGTTCGGAGCTTGACTTCCACTGAAATACACAAGATATGTCCCAGAGGGACTCTGTTCGAGGGACTCTGTTCAAGGTCCTACACAGGAAGCACAGAAATGAAACTGGGTTGCCAAAGTCCTATTTTAGTACCCCAAACATTGTGCCTTCCTCCTCCCTAAGAGATTGCTCTGTCTTAAAATGTCCCACAAGCTCAGTTTCTTTTCTTTTCTTCTTTCATCTTTTGTCTTAACCAACCACCAATTTTAAAAACCCATTTCCATGACTGTACAAAAAAATATTCAGATGCTTTACCAAAATCCATTCTCTCTGCAATATAAAAAGAAAATAGAACAGTGCTTTGGTTTTGCCCTCCTTAATGTAAGGTTGAAACAGAAGAGCACTTCTCTTTTTAAAGAGAAGGACAATGTGTTTTATTTTTAAAAAGCACTGGAGCTCGCAAACAGAACACACACAACCCACAGCCCAGTTGGCTGTAGGAACAAGGCGACGTACAGATCAGAACCTGCATGAATGGGACACTTCAAGCCCCTGAAAGGAAGTTGTTTGGGATTTTGACTCAGACAGGACTAAGAGCTAGTAATAACAAACGTTTCTTTGATAAGCAGCCAAAGAGGGGAACTTTGGAAGTCTGCTAACAGAAACATAACTGACAAGATTAACAGAACTATCCTTTTTGCTTTTCTATGCAGTAGATAGATAACCTAATAAACTACACAAAGGGGAAGTTATTTGGCTCTGTTCCATTGCCGTAAAAAAAAAGCAGGAAACATCAAAAGAACAGGCAAGGAATTATAGCTTGTCTTTTATATTCTGTTAAGTATTTTCTCTCAAAATAAATCAGATGCCATAACATGGCCCCGTGAACACTTAAAAAGCAAAACACAGATGATACTAACAGTGTTTCTCTTACTGTATTTAAGAGCTTTTCTATAAACAAATGAGAATGACAAAAAGAACTGAAAAGATCTTCCAGCACATCATCATCATCTCATTGCCTGGATATACGTATATGTATATAGTTATTAACTCAGTGGAGATTTAAAATTGTAGTGTATCTGGCAGCACTTCCTTTGAAAGATATGTTTATCTGGGGTAATCACAAAGTATACTGGTGGTATACCGGCCTGCCTGAAGATAAAGCAACTGTTAGATGGGTTTTTTTCTCCCAACGCTCACACACAATGCAGCAGCTCCGGGGTAATGAGCAAAAATCCTCTGTGTTGTGTATTCTCTTGGTTTAAAGTTTTGGCCATGAAAAAACAAACCCTTGTCAGTCTGCAAAATTCTAAATGCTTTTTGCTACCTACTTCACAGAGGTGTCACCTATGTTATTTTATTTTTTTAGTCAATGGAAGTTGCCATTAACACTAAAAAGGAATAAAAGGAATTGCACTCCCAGGCTCAAATCAGGTTGGAACATTTCACTGGCAGCATTTAAATAAATGTGAAAGGACTCTAAGTGTTCAACTTTTGCCTGGATTTTTCTGTCCTTCTGTCTTCCCCTCATTAATTTTCCTAACAGAACTTTATTACTGAAAGTATATTTTCTATCAAATCAATCAATGGCACCTTCAAACACCACGAGGCACTAATTCTAATGTGAAATCTGCTCTGAGCTCTGCTCTTACGTTCTATGAGATGACCAGAACTTTTTAAAACTGTTATAAACTCCACTGGGCAGATTCATAGGTAGGATGATTTGGTGTAGGGCCTGAAACAATGGAGATGCAACAAGTTGTTACAGATTTACAACAGCCGGAGACCTAGTCCAAGCTAGCTGTTGGTATGTCTGGGACACAAATCCCGCTTTTTAATCAGAGTTTTCTAGTTCATGTTAAAAGTGATTCCGTCTAAAAACGGGCATTGTACAAACTGGGAGGATGCCTGTCATTTGCTTTGGGCACTTTATATTGCACAGCAAGAGACAAATCCTGCAGTCTCCGCTCAGACAGCTACAACTGAATTCTGGCTGGTAAATAAGGGCCAGACTTGGCCCCACAAGTCTTTGCTATTTTTCTTATGACTGCTGCTGACCACAATCATACCTTAATGTATACTTTGAAATGTGGTGTTTTGAAGAGAGAGAGAGAGAGATGCTGGGAAGGCCTATGAGTTCACATAGTGGACCTTCTCTCACTATACACTACTGACTATTTTATAAAAAAAATAATGTCTTGTTAAGAGAACCTAATACGTAAAGCCTATATAAATCAAGGATGTAATGACAGGTGGGAAAAGTTTTTGCTTTCCCCCCCCCCAAGAGTCTCTCTTCTCCAGAGCAATAAAAATATTATTAAAATAACTGTCCTTCAGAGCCTTGAAAAGGTATTTTTAGTCTTTTCGTATTAAAAAAATCCTAGCATCCATAAATCAAAGTACTGGACACCCGCAGTTGCCCTTGGTTTAGGTCAGGGTTGCAAGGACTCATGATCTCTAAAAAAAAGATAATTATTAAATAAGTGGTAGTTGCTTAGCCCTGATCCAGTAAAGTATAATCGGCAACCCACTTAAGCACACAGTCACATCACATTTGGCTTCAGAGGGAAGCAAGCATTAAGTGCTTCACTACACTGCAGCTTCAGCCACTTAAGTTTAAGGTGCAGTTTTGGGTACATCTGGGTACCCAGTTGGGGTAACCTGACTGCTTTTAATTACTCCCATCTTAAAAATAAATAAATAGCATTCATTTATGCACCACATTCATATTTTGCAAAAACTAAAGGGATGTTCCAAGAACTAAAAACTTGTGGAGTCTTTTATTGACTAAAAACACCTTCTTAGTGACAGAAGGAAACAGGGTGGACAGCTGAGAAGGACATTAATATACTTCGTGAAGATGAAAATCATACCTGCACTGGGGCTTTATTTCCCATTGGTTTCACTAAACCCAGGAGCCCATGCTGTAACAGTTCAAAGACTGAACCTTCACTGAACTCAGATTAAACTGCTCTCAAATGGGAGAAATTACAGCCATCTAGCTGGGAGAGAGTGGTATTACAGCGGCATATTATTCAGACCTTGTAAATGCAACACCAGTGTGCGGAAGTACAAGGAGAGAGGAAAGGCAGCTAACAATGGGATGAGTCTCCTAAATTCTGTATTCTGAAACATTAGACTTGCAGTGCCCAACACTGCTTGGTGCATACCCACAACACAGAGATTCTCCGTCAGCCTTGTTGACTGCTCCATGTTCTGCTCAAGTTCTCATTCAGAAAGGCCAGCTCAACAGCACATATGAAAGGGCATGTCTGAAATGTCTGAAATGTCAGATTCCCAGAGACTTCAATGACATTTGGAACAGGCCTCAAATCATTCTCACCCACAACAGTTTGCTAAAACACATCATCTGGAGAAACCAAAGAGACCATGAACAAGTGCTCTCCCATACCTGGACATGAGAAGTTACCAGATATCCCCTTGCACTATTATTTAGGAAAATAGTAACTTCTCAATATGCTTAGGTAAGTCATGTGATATTGCAGAGCATTACCATTTGAAAATGGTCGACCTTAACAGCAAGGCACTTGTTCAGTTGTTAATTATGAACCAAACCCTGTGATTTTCAGAAGAAGCAGAAGCCATGAATGCACATACCTGGGCCAGATTCTTCCGGAGCAGGGCTGCAATCTGCACAGAAATGGAGGGGCAACATGCATGATTAAGGAGCAGCAACACAGTCTAAACATAAGCAACTCAAATGCTCAATGCCAGGGTTCTCAAACACTTTCACCGAGGGAAGAGGAACTCAGCAGAGATACTCCTTTGCCTGCAGGCACCACGGGCATGGGCTGTCTCCACCACTCCACTGTTTCTGATCAGAGGAACACCTGGATGGGGACTTCGAGGAAAGCCAGTACCTGCTAGCTCAGGGGCTCTCTGTGGATTACCAGCAAGTGCACTGTCAATCCCCAGCGATCCACAGGGCACAATTTGAGAACCACTGGTTTAGTGCCATTATAGAATAAGCTGGCAGTAAGGCTGCTAAACAGAATAGCAAAAGACTAGCAGTAAGTTCAATGCACTTAACAGAAAATGACGTTAAGGCACCCACAACGCAAGAGTAATAAAGAAACAGTAATTTGCTATCTTAGACAAATTTCTGTTACACAATTTCTGAGATAGTTAACCCAAGCATTAGATTCTATATTAAGGGCTGAAACCCTCACCAGTGAAGCCTGTGAGTGTTCCACACTCACTTCAGTGGGAGGAACAAGCTGTCAGATGAAAACACACTGCAGTGCAATGCAAACAGTAAAAAGATAATACATGCCCTGTTATAGCAAGTCTTGCATTAATTAAAAGTAGCTTATTAAGCTAACAGGATTTAAACTTCTGTTGTTTATATCTAGATTCACTAGTCAATGAATTACGAATTTGAAAATAACAACAGAAAATATCAAATTCAATTGTATGCATTAGGACAATCAGCTGAGCTAGACAATCCAAGATAAAAACCTCTCAGTAAATTAAAACTCATTGTGTTCATTAAAGAAGCTGTATGCCCCCATGCAATTTTAGTAATGAATACCTAAGCCTATAACAAAAATAAATTTTAAAATTATTTCTTAAGTCTCCCTTCTACTATTTCAGGCAGTATTTTCTTTCACAAACATTCATTTCTAGAGAGATCCTCTAAAGTCCTTCAATAACATTCTACTGTCCTTCTCTTACCAATTCTGGAACTATCTTGGTTTGCTGGTTTTTACATTGCTTTCAGAAAAATTTCTGGTGACTCTTGGCTCAGTGTCATTTATCCAAAACTCAGAATTACTAACAGAAAAAGTGTTAGTTCTTTGAATACATGACAAGGAAAAACTTTAAAATGTTGCAATGCTGAACTTAGAGACAGGATCTTCTTTGACCCTCAATTTTTTCCATGGTCAGTTGTGGAAAGTGACAGTGAAAGGGAATTAACAGGCCAGGTTTGGTGTGGAATCAAGGAAAGTAACTCAATGGGAAAATACCCACTGCTTTCAGTAAGATCAGGGGGTTTTTTTGCAGTATTGAACCTGTTCCTCTGTCAAAAATACTGACCATTAATTAGGAACTACATCTGATGAGAATGTGATCAAGTACTCAGCTTGCCCTGGCTTACAATAAACTCCCCAAGTGCAATTCAAATTGCTCATTAAGACCTACGAACAATGTTTACACCAGATACCTAAGAAACAGGATTCCCTCTCCAGGATTTTTTAAGTTAAATTCACCCAACATTGGTTGAGAGTCAGACTTCGGATCTGGTTTTTACACTTAAGTAGCACTGGGAAACGGCAGCAAGCCCGTTAGCTTTAAAGCTTGCGACTCTTCTTGATTTAATGTTTCTGTCCCAGGTTCTGTGGATTAAGTGGAAAGAATTTTTTCCTATTTTGGAGGAGCAGCAGGGAAAGGTTACAGAACTCTTGGTACAAACAAACCCTTTGGTAGGTAAGTGCAGCTAATTCCACTTTTATATGGCATAAGTATCGAGATCCAGAGTAGATTTAAAAGATAGACTGAAAATGAAAGAAAATGATTGTTCTAAGGTGCTTTCAGCATCGAATTGTCTTGGGAAAAGCTTCTGATCTCATCCACCACAGATTTTTCCTATTCTTTTTAATATTAAAAAAACACAATTTTAATCACTGATATGAAGGTGCATTGAAGTTTACTGATAAAACTTTCATGTAAGTACATATAAAACTTACTGTAAACTAGCTAGCAAATAAAAACATTTAAAGGTATCAAACTGGTAGAAGAAATTTAGTCAAAGATTAATAGAGAACACATTCTGAAACAAGAACCAACTCTCCTATTCCTTTATGATACACAAAAATGTCAGTCTAATCTAGAAAAAGATGGTCATTTAAGATACTAAGCAAATCATACGTAACATGTACAAAGCTACACAAAAATATTTTGCAAATAAAAACATTTAAAGGTATCAAACTGGTAGAAGAAATTTAGTCAAAGATTAATAGAGAACACATTCTGAAACAAGAACCAACTCTCCTATTCCTTTATGATACACAAAAATGTCAGTCTAATCTAGAAAAAGATGGTCATTTAAGATACTAAGCAAATCATACGTAACATGTACAAAGCTACACAAAAATATTTTAACATTTATTTTAACTTCCTTCTTGCTTTCTTTTTCTTAAGGTACTGCCTTCCACTGCAACATTAACAATGGGATGGACATGAAGTCACAGATACACATAAGGGTCAAAGGGCCATCAAACGATAAGACAGAACAGGAAAAAGGAAATGAAAACACAAATCAATCTTTCTAGAGCTTAACTTGGCACACCTGCCCTATTAAATGGCCAAATCATAGTGACCACATGTAAAGAATGTAAGAATAAGTCAAATAAGTCAAATTTCATGTAAATGAAATAATTCTGAAATTTAATGCATGGCTGCAAAACTGTCAACCTAAACTGATAAGGGTATCTTTCATTCACATGCTCACGGCATTATGCTGGATTCAATCCAGCACCCACTTTACCTCAAATTTTGATAGGATTATTCCACTGAGAGCTTGCACTGCCAATTCCTACCTTCCAGCTACAAGAAGTCTAACTAATTGGGTGCCTCAGCACCACAGCTTTTGACAATTTGGTTTGAAATTTGCTTTGAACTCCAGTAGGTTCATCCAAGTTCAGCTCAGTCTAATGGGACTGCTTGGCTCCCCTCCTACGCTTTGGCAGCCCAGCTGGGACCATTAGTGTCGCAGTAGTGCCTGCACTCCTCTCCTGTTTTATTTATCTTTTACAGAGGTTCACTGTAATAAGCTTTGATTGCTGCAAAGAGGCTGAAGTCAACAGGAAAGCTACCAGAGGTGGTGTTTGACATATGCTAACCCAAACACCTCTTTTACCAGCTTAAAACACCCAGTGTGAAAACCAGATGCCACTGTCATCAATGGATTTGGCAATGATTTCAGTGGGATCAGGATTTCAAAGTAAGTAATGGGCTTAGCAGCTCCCAGCACACCAGCAGCCCTTCCTGCCTGGCATCAGTGCTTAACACCACCACTGAACTAAAAACACATGGAAGGATGTAACGGAGGCTTAGGAATGATGCCAGCGCACAGGAAGAGAGCAGCAGTGAGAAGCAGTGTCTGGCATACGCACTTGTCTTTCTGAGAGAATGGCATGCACAGGATGGTGTGGATGAAGGTGGTGGTGAGGATGATGAAGGTGGTGAGGATGATGAGGTCTCATTTAAATCTTCTGGATTTATCCAGTAGGCACGAGTGTCCCGATTACCTTTCTTACTAGTACAGCTGATGTCGCACTGGAAAACATCTTCACAGCTGTCACTTTGCAAGCGCTCCTTCTGGAGAAGTTTGTCCACTCTCTGTATAATACACTCCAGACTTTTGTCAACATTCAACCAAACTTTCTCCTTAAAAGAAAACATTTCTTTCTCAATTTAAAAAGAAGAGAAACATTGGGTAACAAATCCCTTGGCAATATATTTCCTCCTGTGATTCTAGTCACAATTCCTCTGCAAAGTTTCCTCTGAGCTATCGTGTTTACCTTTGTGCACACTCAAATTCTGGATATATAAACAATGTATACCAGCATGTCAACAATACGTAGCAACATGACTCGTGGTAAGTTGCAAAGCTATTTTCTAATTAAATTTGCTGAACAATTTTAAGTGCCTCTTCCTGCACTATTATTTCAATTTCCAGTTGGCACTACTGTTTATTCTTGAAACTCATGTTTGACATAATAATTGGATACAATCACACATCTTTTTTCCTATAACTCAGTGAATAACAGATAAAATTACTGTATTGTATTGCTATCTACATAACTGAATTGGCTTTATTCGTATCTCATTACTGTGAGTTTGACTGTAAGTCAAAGTATGCCAAAACAGTTAAAACTAGCAAGGATCCATTTCCAAAATTAATTAGATCTCATTTTGAAATTGGTATTTCACAATATTAATAATTGTTTCAACTAATCTCAACTATTTCTGAGATTTAATTAACTTCCGTTTATATTACACAATGACAGAATTTACACAGCCCAATTCTCATTTCAATCGGCAGTGTGGTAAGGAAAACCATTTAAATACTCTGTGCAAACAGTTTTAAAATGCTGTTCATAATCAAAACAGAGATGGACTGCAAGTTCTAAATATTTAGACGAGAATAAAAACCAGGAAGGCTGAATTGTATAGCTAACACATGCAAAATATGCCTTATTTTGCAGAAGTGTAAAAGCCCTTTGTATACGGTCAATTTTTTACTTTAAAAGCTATTTACTTTCCCTTGGAACCGACTTCAGAAAAGCCATGCACCTACTGTAACAATTTCCGCTGTTTGGGAGACTCAGAAATATTTATTAAGGCCTGTTTTATCCCCATGCCAAGGAGTAACTGAGCACAGGATAGAGGCAACATCTTTACCAATACCTCCAAAATACTCATCCTATGCATATCTGGTGAGCAGCTACAGAGCTTATAAACAAAAGAACACAGCAAACAAAAACTAAAAAGAAGAAAATATTCATCGCTCCACTAAGCAAACGTACCCATTCCTCTTCATGCCAATCCACCTGCAGAGAAGATCGGCTATTTCTTCCTGTCCATCTGGCCACAAGCGTATCTTGATCATTCCTCAGCATCACTTGCTCCCCTTCTCCAGAGGTTGGAGATGCTTTTGAAGCTATATAGTCTGGCCTTGCAGCATTCAGTCCGTGTATTGAATTTGCCAACAGCTTGCAGTCACAGACTGTGACAAGTTGCCGAGTCTAAAAAGCAATAAACCCCCCAGATTTTAACAACTTTTCATTATTCCGTATACAATTTATACTATATTCTTTTGCAGAAAGAAAAAAGAAGAACTAGTATTCTGTAAAAGAAACTAACCATTGTTTAGGAGTCTCTAAGGTACCTTTAAAATCATTTTACAGAATGGCCTTAAAAAGTGATATAGGATACCAAAACAGAAATGGTACATTTCCAAAGTCTGTACTACTATATTAGCCTTGCAATTGTTGAAAACTTCACTAATAAACGTGCAATTCACCTTTATTTGCACTTCACTCTCCATTTGATGAAAGCTTAGGACAATGTGCAGACATTTTTATACCCCACACAACAGTTGCCACACCAGAGAGACCATGCTTAACCTCCACCATCCTCTCTGAAGTCATAACAAGACTTAAGAGGAGGGCTGAAGATATAACCCATCAATCAATGCAACTTATTCCCTGTCGTATTTAGTGGTGGTGTATTAAAGGATTTCTATAAGTTAGGTGAATACAAAATGTATCTGGCCTGCGTGTCTATTAAAAAAAGAAAACAACAAGCAAGCCCTTACTACATTATATATACACATTGTCCAGCTGTAGAAAATCCCACAGATCAGTTATACACACTGTACTCATTTAGAGTGAATATTGTAATAAATAATACATTTACATGGGGTCACATTAGTTTTTGCACTCTACAAAGTTGTATGCATATCCCCTCCACTGGGACAATTTATGGCAAGCTGAGTGGCCATTACTGCCATTTACAACCTTCAGACCTGCTTCAGGGACAGAAGAGGTCAGTAAAACCGTATTTGGTTTTTTGTCCCTGTAAATAAGATTGTGTTCAGCTGTGGGTCCAGTCTGGTTTCTGTTAGCACTCATCAAGAAATAACTGATTCACATCACTATAATTCAAGCAAAGGCTGTGTCACCATTATTCCTTATTTCACCAGTGGAAAAATACAGAATTGTTTCATCAACTTTTGCCCAGTTGCTGCTGCTTGACAGATGACTCAGAGGAACATTAAAAAAAGCAGGTGGTTATGGAAAAAAGGGTCTAAAAGAAAGTGAAGAATGCACATTTCTGGAATATGGTGAATGGATAGAGGGAACCAGAGGACATTGCTCTCCACTGCACTCTCAAGAGGAGGTGAAGGCAAGAGTGGAAAAAGTAAGAGACAACCTAAATAAAAAGCAGCAAATTTCAAAGGCTGGTCTGATTTTGCTTTTTCTTTAGGACTGTACACGTTACAATACGCTACTGGACAAAGTAAAATAGATGTTTCAAGAAAACCTACTAAAGATAGAGACAGAGGAAAAAAATACACTGTGCTTCAGTGTGGAAATGTGTTATTCTCCTACCTTGTCTGCTAGGATGGCAAGTGTTCTTTCAAGGCCATTAGCTGATCTATCCTTGGCAGCTCTTGAGAGCCTTTCTGCATAGTAACTGACTTGCGTTTTCAGGGTGTTGATTTGTGCGATAATTTCCTTTGCTCTAACAATGTCCTGTGGGATGTATATTATAGACTGGGAACTTGTTGAAGTGCTGAAAAAGAAAGACTGATCTTAGGGGGAAAATTGATCTAGAGGTACACACGTTACAGTGGCATGCTGGGAATTAATGGCAGACAACAAAAATTTACCTAAGCTAGCAGTGAAAGGCCAGTGGGCAATTGCGCAGCAGGAACGTGATCCTAGAGCCTTCTCTGCCTTTACTGAAAGCATTCAGATGCAGATTTACTAATCCCTTATGCCAAGGGGCTGTGGGCACAGCTTGTATACCAGAGGGACAGTTTTGCTGAGGAGAATGTGGGTGACAGATTTTGCCATCAGATACAGAACCACTGTTTGCAGAGACAGCTTGCCCCACTCTCCCTCTCCTTAGGACACAGACACTTCACTGAGGCCTGGTTTACAAACCTGTTTTATCACATAGCTACTAGCACCATGAAAAGAAAATCTGCACTCCTTCTAACACAGAAATGCCACCCAGATCCGTAACGCAAACACTGTATTAACGAAAAATCCTTCTGCTTGTATATCCTTTCCTCTATTGCAGGCCTGATTCAAGTCACACCAGCAAAAGCAATCTTATGATACATAAAAACCAAAGTATTTCTCCAGACTAATCCAAGGACTCCATCCTTGGTGTAGCTTCTGTTAGCACACACTTACTATACTAAACTAAGGACATGATAGAACTCTCCCTATTATAAACTCAGCTGTAACAATATAAAGCAATACCAAATTTTGGCCTTTTCCAAATAGTAAGGGAAATAAACTATACCAATAAAACATATCTTTATATTGGGATACTGCAGCTCCACTAAGACTGCTTACTTGGCAGTGGAGGAGAATAGTTTATGTCCTGTAAGTTTAGATGTCTACAGAAGTTGCTTATCCAGTCCAAGACAGATGCTTGGACTCCCTCTGTAACTGCTGGAGAGAGAATAGCACTTCTAAAGGGTGGTTTAATCCTACCTGAGAAGAGCTGTTCACAAAAGCTGCCTTTTAGATCAGAAAATTACTTTCAGCTGAAGCTGTGCTCTTAGTTAACTATTTGGAACGAACCCACCACTACTCCCTTTGCCAGGCAATATGCTGGTTTTTTCCTCCCAGTAGGAAAGCTATACAAAGATCAGGCCTTTACATCAGCTCCAGCTGTGACAAGTGTGATGCCCGTTCATAACGTGGCATCAAACATGAGGTGACACCAATTGTATATTATCTTAATTTTATTCATTTTTTCCAGTCATGAATGACTTCAGCATAGTGACAGCACAGAAGAACCTACTGTTTGCACCAATCTCAGCACTGTTCGATGGACACAGCTATGCCGAGAGACTACACAGAGAGGAGTTTCTTTTCCAGGCACAGTTACCTCAGATCACGACCTCCGAGGAGTGTGAATTCCTCTGCTACCCCTAGAGCAATGCTGTTAATTTCTGCAGCGTGTCTGTGAGGTAAGACAGGAGGGTTGCGTGGGGCACGCTTTAAAATCATTGCCACAAATACCAGTTCTTGTCCCTTAACTGATATTAAGGCTAGCGGGGAGCTTAATCCCAGTAGCTGTCTTGAGCTCCATTACAAGAAAAGATGGGGGATTTGTTTTCAAAGGATATAATGCAGAGGTGATTCCTGAAAGAGTTTCCTTATTTGTGTCCCTCTGGTCACCCACCTGAGTGGAGCAGAGAACAACCACTCCCCAGTACTGCTACCCCATACAGCAAATTAATCTCAGCTTTCAGGACTTTCCCTGTGCATGATTTGTGCTCTCTATTGACCGGTGATCTTAGTGACAATTCCTCTGAGCAATTTCTTTCCACGACAGTGTGGTTAACATGCACAAAGACGTATTTGGCAGGAAAGGCCATGCAGCATATTGAGATCTGATTTAGAATTACTATATTTTTAATCACAAACATTTGCTGGGATGATCAGGGGGAAAAATTTATGGTGTAAAATTCACATATATTTACTTTCCAACCTGCAATTGCTTTTTCAAATGAACAGCTTTCCTTGCACTATATCAGCAAACTGTAACACAGCCTTAAACTCTCAGTGAATTAAGGGTTCAACCTTTAATATAAGTAAGTTAGAGCAGAACTTCTGCGCTGTTGAACCATCAAGTAATGTTTCCTTTTCATAGCACTGAACACCACAACATGAAGAAAAATAAACAAAAGTTAAGTGAAAATGTTTAAATGAAGACATGGGTTACAAAATTATAAACCATGCCCAATCTATCACCATAAAGATTTTAAAAATACATAGAGTTATCTTAATTATCTTCCACCTCTGGCAGAACGTTTCTCTCTCCAGGCAGTTTTCACTGGAAATAACAGAGGAAAAGATATAAAATTCTTGTGTTCTGATCTTCAGTTTTCTAACTTCTTATGATCAGAGAAAGCCAGGAAGCTAGCTGTTCATTACAAACAAACATTGCAGATGAAATGAAATTCATTCACACATCATGTTCCACAAAGCAGCTACAATTACTTAGAGCACAATTAGGGATGCCATGATGCATGACATTAAAAAGCCCTGCACACTTTAAAACACAACAGATCTTTGCCAAAGAAAAGAAAGAAAAGAAAAATAAAACAACCCAAAGAACAGAAACCCTCTCTACAGAACTCTCAGAAACAGAAAACTCACCAACACTCCTCATAACTGCTAAAAAAACAAAAAACCAAAATAAAATTAGCAGATTGTTAGCAAATACCAAAAGCAGAAAACAAAACAAAGGATGTTTGAGGAAATAACTTATTTGAGTCATCTTTTCAACAAGTCGTTGATCGTACATAACGATTAAACTTGTAAGCAAAAAACCACAGATTGCCAGATGCCCATGTGTTGTTCTGGGGAAATGTTATGGATGCACCAAGCACAGGTTTGCCAATGAAAGGAGAAAGAACTGAACAATATCTATGTAACAGTGAAACTGAGGAGATGGATCTCAGTTCTACTATACTGGCTTTTATGATAACATAGTACTTGAAAGGAAAGTTATTCTTCAAATGTTGAACCTGCAGTTTTCATGGACCCAGAAAGAACAGTTCTGTAAAGCTTACAGGAAAAGTACTGGATAGAAATTAAGCTCTCTGATCAGCTTAATTATTGGGTGAGGAAAAAAAAAAAAACAAACCAAAAACAAAAGACATGAGAACTTAGATATTGCAGGAGTGAGGCCCACTTCAGTGGTTAAGCTGACAGAAGGAGGTTATTTCAGAAAGCAATAGTGGTATCAAAAGAACAGGAAGGGTGAGCCTAGCATACCAGTGTTTCCAGGTTTAGTTTCCTCTAGTCCCATCCTAGCGCATTGTGTAAGTCAGGAATAATTACACCAGGCATATTTTTGCACCAATCTTTTTATCAGTGCATATCTGACTGATGTTCACAGGATGCTGCTATTCACTTCTCCATTGCCAAAACTAATTCTGCAGTTGGCAGAGCCTGGTTCCCACGTCACTCTCTCTTCCCATCAACTCCAAATCCTACAAATCCTTTCTTTGGAAGGGCATTATCAAGGTCTCCTTTTCCCTGGCTGCAATGACTCCTTGTCCTGCTGCTCTCATTGTTCCTTAAATTCTCCATACTGCAGCAAAAGTAATGCAGACCCAGACAGCATTATCTCTTCCTTGGGAGCTGGAGTGGGTGCCATGCAGATCTCTCCCTTTAGCATACGTGACCTTCCCAATTTCTGCCCCTTCCTCTAGTACACACGGTCGCACTTCCAGAGAGGTCACTAGACAGTCCCTGAAGACAGGACTGTGGAGGTCAAGTATCCTGCCTGTAAAGCAGAGTGAGGCCAGAGTCAGAAGCCTAATCTGTGCATAAACCTTGAGGCAGTACAGAAAAGCCTCCAGCAATAGTCCCAGAACTAAATCCAAGTTGTCAACAAGGAATTTGCCTATCAGTCACAGCTGTTCTGTACTAAAGAGAGTTCAGCAACAGGACCTTGAAGCTATGAGAGGGGTGAAAGTCTCCTGAAAATAATGGGTTGAAAGCATGATATAGCGCAGCTGAGGAGATTCTACAGACAAAATTTCTAATCCACAATTAGGCAGAACCCAAACCCAACACCTAAAATAGCTAAACTAAATGAACCAACAAGTATTCAGGAAAATTAAAGATTTCACTAAAAAGACTATTAGGAAGGGCCCATCAGTAAATATATGGTAATATACAAATATGGTAATATAAAGGGGAAACTGTTTTTCCTCTCCTTTGGAAAAAAACATGGAATAATCTTCACATTGTATAGTAGAACTATTGAATGAAGTGCAACAAAAACAGAGAATGGAATGGTTTTCCAAATCACTGAGCATGGACCAGGAGGAAAAGGCACAATAACAGCTGACAACGACATTTCTACTTACTGTTTTTTTGCCTCTTCAAATTTATGCAGCTTTTTCCGCAAGCCACCCGATTTAAAGCCTTGACAATGAGCTGCTGGTGCTCCTATGGTGACTATGTCGTAGTTCTGATCTGGGATGGACAAAAAGGACTTACAAATGAAAGCTTGTCATCTTTACTGTGGACAAACAATTGTGGAAATTCAAAAGCTACTCTGAAAGTAATTTTTGTAAAACTTTGTGCCAGTGTTTTGAAGGACATGGAAAACTGAATTGTTTTAGAGGCCCTGGAAATCCATCAAGTACTGTTGAGGTGAAAGAACCATACTTGAATGCAGGTCCTCTGTTTTTTAATCTAGAAGACTGACAGTGAAAAAGAAGCCTTGAACATTGGTGTTTACACAAAACCTGCCATTACTGGAATCCCTCGCATGGATACATGGGACATGTGTGTGTCCATGGTTAGTGGGAATTACTGTTAAAAGAAGGGAAAAGCCTAGGTTATTTATGAAGAAACAAGCCTAATGTGAACAAACTGGTGTGATTTTGCATAACTGTACATGATGGTTCCAGAGAAAAAGCGCACAAGCTTAACAACAAACAACAGACAGAACCTTTGCTATTCTGCTACAATCCAAAATCACTGGAGGGGACACAGCAGCTTAATCCAATGTATTCCCTAGTACAAAGGCTGACTTGTGTCACCTAGGGTACAGTTAACTCCAGAACCTAGTTTTCCCACCTGTAGAATAGTGTTAATTATACTTACACCTCTTCTTTTGCAAAGAGATTTGGAATCTGAAGGTGCTACAAAAATGCCAAGTAGCACTAGTACTATAGAGCAGTAGTTTGTAGAAACTTGTCTATATGGCTGAGGATGGAAATAAAAAACGGAGAGAAAAGTAACAGAATAAGATGAAGAAAGAGAAAAAGAAACAAATACCTGATCCTCCATCATCCTGGACTCTCATTCTCTGTATATGCAAATTCGTAGGAACAAATTCCAATTTTTTATCAGCTTTCAAGCTACTGGCTTTAAATGAAGGACCTGAGAAATACAGGAGAAAAATAAGCATAAAACCCCTCTGCTTCTGCTCATGCTAAAATATTCAAGGAGTTTCATTCATCATTTGCTACATGCTGAAAGTAAAGCAGAGAAAAAAAAAAGATACATCTTTCTGTTACTGTTCATAATTGTTCTCTACTTTCAGGGCAAAATAAGAGAATGAATAAAGCAGACAAATATTCCCAGATCATTAGCAAACTCACAATAAATGTTAATAAAGAAATCTAAAAATAGTATTTTTTACTCATCAAACTAAAACATTCTGGGTTCCCAGTTTCAGAGAAGCACTAACAATCATGGCTGAGAAGTATCACGTTATTATGGAAAAGAAATCACCTTTATACTGGTGCAGGTCAGTTAGATTTTCCTGATAAGTTAAAATAATTGTTTGGTACTGAGTAACTATTTGTCGACGAAGACTTTCCCAACAAGGAGACAGTTCTCCCAATTCTTCTAGTTCACAAACCCTAGGGAAAAAGAAAAAAAAGGAAAAAAGAGAGGTGTTTAGCTCCATTGTCCACTTGACCAAGAACGAGTTTCACATTGTATCAATGTAGCACCACCCTCAGGTGACACATTCTCAATTCACTCTGGTCTAACCTGGTCACCAGACTGGGAATGCTTCCAAACATACATCCCAAAGCACAGCTGTTGAGCTCTACCCCAAGGTACATAGGTTCCTCACAGGCAGAATACACCGTGTTCCCCCCAGGAGCCTCAGGTGTTGGTCAAAACCAAAGCTTCCCACTTTTCTGCAGGAGCTCCCAAACTATATGATGATTTGCAAATGATGGGCACTGTCATCATGTCAGGTGACTTGGGACAACAAGGACCTTTTTAGGCTACTCTACTGAACTTTGGTGGCTCTCAGATTAAATCAGAACTGTGACAGATCTTAGGTGGGAGATTAGCACCTATCTGACATTAGGTATAAGGAGTATCTGTGCTGGCCAGGTATCTACACAACAGTTTTCAAGGCCAGGCAGGGAAGGTCTAAGACGCGTAAGCATCAATAAGGGTTTGGAGACACAAAAGATGAGCCAACAAAACCTTCATCTGAGATTCCGGATTTTAGGCACTCAAGTTTCACTGTAGGTGGAATAAAGGACGACTAGGTACCCCTAGATATGAACAGGAAAACCCCTGGCTTTCCCATTGCACCCTGACTGCTAGGTTTTCAGTCACACATGGCAATCCTGTGTTACATACTGCTCCCCAACAGTGCTGCTGAGAAAATATTTAGTGTATTTCATGTCATGCTTGTCTTCTTGGATTAAAATACTATTTACAAGAAAGGAAGAAGGGAAAAAGTAAACAAGTCAACACCTGACACAATTCAACAGCACTTTACTCCAGAAAAGGTAGAACAATCATCTGTCAAAAGGATCCAGCAGTTCTTTTTGCAGTTCTCTCAATATCCCTAATCCATAGTTTTAATCAATTGTCTGTATATAATTTAAGACAGCATTTCACAGAACAATTTCTACTCCACAGTATTTAGGATATCAAAAGGAAGCAAATTTCCAAGAAAAGCACCAGACTGATTTGCCAATAGGCAACAGTGTAAACTATTATTTATCAGTGACTTGGAAAAAGACACTTCCAGTTTCATCTTGTAAACTGCTTCTGTGTAAGATGCTATTATGACCACCTTGTCAAGCTCCCTGCTCAAAACAAGCCATGCATTTGAACCCAGGTCTTCCTGAAGTAAATTCACAGCTTAGCACTTCAAGTTTACTTGTTTGTCACATAGGGCTAAGACAGCAGGGGATGTGCATGCCATAAATAATTAGGTAGTCAAAATATCCCCCCGGTTAGATGCTTCCTTTCAAAGAGCTCTGGCCCAGAAAGGCTTTATGTAAGAGACGGCAGTTGTGATTATCCAAGGACACTTTAAAAGTCACAAGACACAAGCAGCTGTGCTCGTGTAGCTGTCCAGCATTCCTCTGGGCTGCAGCACAGAGAATGGAGAAAAGAGCGCTTGGCCAAACCTGAGAGATCCTATGAATACAAAGTGTGATTGTGCTATTTCCCACACTGTAACAAAATAGGGCACTAATTCAAAATGAACATGACAGTAACCCACCTTGAAGAAAAATAATAATTCATTAGAAATATAAAAGCACTGATGGAAAAGAATTCTGCATGTCATTGAGGGTCACCTCAACTGAACAGAGAGAGGGAGTCTTTCTTGCTAATTACACCAAAGTCTTATTTACCTTTGAGCCACGCAATTCAGAGCATACAAAGTTGTATTAGCAATCACCTGGGCTGTTATTAACCTCCAACTGTATACAATATGCATCCATCAATCTCTATATGATTTTAGCAAGAGCCTCTGAGCAGTCAGATATCATGGCTAACGCCTTAAGAAACTTCACTGCCCACAGTCTTACAGGAATCCACATCTTTTTTCCCCATTCACCCTAAATTCTCCTCTTATTATCTTCAAGTCTTTAAACTACATCCATCACAGATGGCACCTGATGGGTAAGCCTGCCAACTCTTTACAATATTATGGCTGTACCTCGTAATGAATAGGTGCTTTTAAACGTACTCTGAGGAAAGCTGTAGAGAACCAAAGATATAAAATAAACTATGAACTATGAATAACACACGTCTAAATGTGTAATGGCATATCCCAAGCCCCCTCCATCGAGGTTTTAGCAGGATAACTACACAAGATACAGCATTCATTCTCCAGAATCTAAAATCTGACTACTCTTACTAAGTGCACATCACTAAAAAACAAAACTCAACAGCAGAAAAAAAAAAAAAACAATGTGAACTTCAAAAACTCAGTCATGTCATGCATTCATTTTTCCATACATTACAAAAATTCACCGCCTCCTTCTTGTAAGAATTTATCGTTTTTGCAAAATATGAAGACACTTGAAAACACCATAGACTAATTCTGCCTGCTCATATGGATTGACACATGATTTTCTTTCACAATATCCCAAAGGAATTTAAATGTATTAATACAGGATACTGAGAGCACTAGATAGTTTTAATTAAGGTCAGACTTAATTAGGCCTCTAGGAGTGGATTCAAACATAGCTAAAATAAAAACCCAATACTCAGAAATACAGCTAAAATTCTTTTACCATCCCAACCTTGGCTTTTATAAAGAATACACAAACCATTGTGTTTGCAAACCACAGCCTGCAAATGTAGGGAAGTCATAAATAGGTATGTTGCCCGGAAGAGAGTTAATTGCTTCAAAAAGCAGCAAATTCAGAATAAACCTACAAAATGCTTAACAGATTTCCTTCTCCCTCCCACCGCTTCCTAAAATGAGAAAAAGTCATTACTGTCCTACAGTGTCTCATTTTACTTGCATTTGTTCTGTTTGTTTTCCATTCAAAACTACTCTTCTGACTCTCAAAGCCATCTCTTCACTCACTGAGAGAAGTCAGTGCTCCTGTCATCTATCTTTGCTTTGCTTTCATAGCACAGAAGTCAACTGACTTTTTCAAAGTTCACCTTCAAAGTGATTCTGGTTTTTCTTCGCTGTCTGCTACTCTAATTACTCACTCCTCTTCAGCTGGTTCCTGTGTTGTCTCTGTTCCTTCCTCAAAATTCTCAGCAGCTGGAGTTACTACTCTTTCATTTATGCTGTGTCATCTATCCAGACCTCCCCCCCACCTATGAAACATTGAGATATGTTTTATCTTTAATTCAAATTCATTTTTCTCTTTATGTTAAAAATAAACTATGTTTAAAAAACAAAGTGTATTGAAGTATATAAATTATTATATATATAAAAAGATAATGTATTCTAATGTGCTGATCCTAATACAGTCACACGACTATGGAATAATATATTCTGTGGTCTTATCAATACTTTGTGAGAGGAACAGATAACCTGTAAGTGCAGATAACTGCAGTATGATCCTAAGTGTTCACTCCGCCAACAGTTCTCTCCCATCATAAAATCCGTAAGTTCACGTTACCATACACTCAAGCCCGAACTCTGTACTCTGACATGAAATCTCATTCACTTTCACTGTAACTGTACAGTCAACAAATTGCTGCTTTTACTATTTTTTCTTCAGTGCCTCTGTGCATTAACACAGATATATTCCTTGGTAACTCCGTAACAGCCACATCCACTGCTGTATTACTGCACATGCAAACCGGTTCAAACTCACCTCGCTGCATCTTCTTCTAGAAGCAGCTTCACAAATTGCCTAGGGATGTGCAGCGACAGGACGCTCTCAGCCATCTGCTCCAAGATTCTCAAGTGGTTTCCATCAGTGGTTGGGAAGCGATACATTCGGCAAATGGCACCACCAAACACTAGAGAATTAAAATCATGTTGTTTTAGCATAGGGTTTGAGTTAAAAGTGTACAAATTCTCTCCTTTTTTAAAGTAAATGGCTTCGATTCACTAACGTGCTGTAACACACTGATGCAAAGATGTGGTTTAACCAGGCATCAGTCTAGCTTTTCCAAGTATGGTCATTCTGCAATGACCATTCTTCCAGCGTTTGCAGGAAAAGCCTCCAAATGATTGAAAACACTGGTAAGGAAATAAAATACATATTCAACTTTTGAACTACTTTTTTTTGTGTTTTGTTTTATGTACTGTGCATTTTCCTCTTATGCAATAACTTGCTGGAAATCTAATCTTTCTTCAAGAACTTTTTTTTAAAGCCACTGCTTTCCTCTGTCCTTCCCCTCACCCTCCAATGATTGCTTTGGAATAGACTAGCAAATGGCATGGAAATTTTTATACTATAGTCAACTTAATGACAAAGGTTTGCTTCTGCTGTTTTTACTATACAGATGATAAAATAAAATATGCAGATGATAAAATAATTTATTCTTGTATGACCCTCAGAGGGCTGCTCAATCAGCAGCCTGTTCCTATTCAAATGAAACATCTGCTTAAGCGCCCTGGTGCCAGAGGCAGACAGCAAGAGATGAGCTTTTACTGATGTCTAAAGCTTACTTGTTACAGCCCGCAGCAGCTTACCAGATTTCAGTAGTGCATCTTTCCGTAATGAAGCGTATTTGGATCTGATTCCTAAAGATTCTGTTAAACTTTCATCAACTGGCAACACAGTCTAAACAAAAACAAAAAAACCCAAACAGTAAAGAATAAAACTTCAGTGCCAGGGCAACGTGCAGTGATGACCCTATTATACAGACTTGAAAGGAATATTCAACACAACGCATGTTTAAAATAAATATTTCAGATATGTTTACTGTGGACAAAAACCACTGCAGGCTGAAATAATAAATCTACTTAAACCCTCCAATCTAAGCATTCCTACTTACTTCTACTGCACAGTTCAAAATGCTGTAAAAATTCTCATCCGGCCCTTCAACTGGGCTGATATTGGCACAGCTCCAGAGCTCTTAAAGGTACTGCACCAATATGTGCCAACTACAGGTCTGACCGGATACAAAGTGATACTAATCCACATTGTGACTGTGATACACAGATATGAGTGCAGTTATCACCAGGATATTCAGAACACAAGGTTTACAGAATTAGACATATGTCTAGGCTGAGAAAGCACTATAAATATCTGCTCTCAGACAAGTATTTGGGGATCACAAGAAAAGAATAATAATCCAGTATTCAAGAAACCTGTTCAGTTTTATTAAAATCCTTTAAGGTATTTCTTTTCTAAAAGTTGCCTGTGAAAATTCTGGAAATTCCCTGAGCATCCCCATCAGAGCTTTGCTTGATGCCACCTTCCAATTCACAGGTGTGCAATACCACATCTTTGTGAAACTGGTTATTAACGCACCAAGTGCACCAACGTACAGTACCTCAAGCCTATTCTGATGAAAGGCACGAGCGCTTGAAGCTAAAGCTTAATCACTGTAAACTACAATTTTCCCCAAGACTTTTAACAAACATTAGCACCAAGAGCTCTGCAAAATACAAAACTGCTTCATCACCATTAGGCTGCTTTTTACAGTATTTTGAAATTGTAAAGCACTACACTAAATACCAAGATGGACAGGGAAGCTGACAGCAGATCTCAACTTATTTCAATACTACCAATCAATCTGCATCTTTCTGAAGCTGATACAATGCTCATACTCACCCTTCCATTAATTGTATCAGGTGACCTTGTCACTGGAGGCCTTTGGTCAGTTTTTTCCTCCATTTGCCATCCAATAACTGTAATGTTACCTACACGGTCACTTTCAGCTGACCTGCAACAAACACTCTGCATTGAGATTTTTTTGGAGGTAGACCTGTTTATCAACAAGGGAACACTTATAAAAGGCTATTAATCTTCAAACTTAATAAACATTTTAAACAGGAAGTTTTTCAACTTCATTTTACATATTTTTATAATGCGTTACTTCAACAGAAAAATGCTCCCCTCATCCTGCAGGAATGCTGTACAAACCCCCTAAGCGAAGGCAACCTAAAACCATGCATGTGTTTCAATACTTCTGTAAAAGCAGAAAGAGTTCAGATTTTACAGTTAGCCTGTTGTAGGCAAAAGCAGCTTAAATTGTGAACGTTAGCAGGGAGCAGATAATTGGATGTACATGCACACGTGTGTGCGTGCCTGTGCGTGTGAATGTCTGCAACCGAACTTTTTAACTCTCAATCAGAAGCCTGCTACTTGCTAGCTGCAACTGGTACAGCTGCAACTGGTAAATTTTGATAATACGTGGACTAAACAGAAGTAGCACATCCCAAATCGTCCACTTAATAGAGAAGTCAGTCAAGGCCACCAGTTATGAGGCTGATCACATCTTCTGCTTCTGCAGATAGACTATTTAGATTGGGAAAACTGAGGGCCTGACATTCCAGAAAGAAAAGTTGATGCTAAAAAGAAGAATCCTGAAAAGAAGTGGTCTAGGGAAGGTGGTGGTGAAGATTCTCAATGGAGGCAAGATGCCTGAGGTGGAAGAAGATCCTGGAGATCAGGGAGGTGCGTGGAAACAAATGCCGGGGACCCCCAGGGACCTGGCCACTAACAGCTGAGACAGGTCACTAACAGCTGAGGACCTGCACAGCACAAACTGACACAACTTTCTGCTCCACCTTCCCAGACCAGCAGCCATCTCCCTGCTGGGGAGGGAAGCTGAGACCATATGAACACATGACTGAGGGGGGAATGAGTGAGTGAGAGAGAGACAGGGAATCAAGTGGGGTAAAAGCTCTAATCTTGCTGGTTATTAAATGCACACCAGTACCCAGATCTACCACAGCTGTCATTTATTCTGTCTCACCCATGACACAGTAATTTTGGCAGAGACTGTTATTTTAAGATAGATTCTAAATGGTATTTTAAGATTGTTGTTTATATGTAAAAATATGCTGGGACAACTAAGACAAAAAAAAAGTCTCTGGAGCAGACCATACTGGGGAGGCAAAAGAAATAAGCTCATAAGATGACTACAAGAAAAGGTTTAAGAATCCAAGTCATGCAGCATGTTTATAGACATTGCTCAGCATCCAGCTTATACATCCGAGGGGTAACGTGACAATGAGAAGACATGCATGTATTTACACACTTTGCTCCAATAATCAGCATACACTTGGTATCAAAACAAGAGAGTTTAATAAAGTCCATTTTCAACTTAGTCATGGAAGAATAAACCTAACAGAATAACCATGTCTAACACAACCGTGAAACTCCTGCCATCACATTCCTCCTCTTTTTCATCTCCTTCAAGACACCTCCATCTTCACATCTATGACAAATTAGACTATTTTACTGACTATCATTGTCATACTTTTGGTGTCTTTTCTGACTCATTTCCCTCATCTGCTCTCCCCTGTTAAATCATGTCAATTTTTTCTTTACAATACATTGTGGAAAAGCCGAAAACTTCACCCATCTCTTCTCTTACCATGAAAAAGCTTTGCCCATGTTTTGTTAGTTGTGTCTGGGCTAAGAAATTTCTGCAAGTTTATCACAGTCACTGCTTCTAGTGCTGATTATGCCAATACTACCAACACCATCACCCTCAGTCTCTCTGATTATGCTTCCCCCCCCTTCAAGTGACTTCTCCTTGCCTTCTCTGATGGGGATGCCTGTCCTACTTTCAACACGCACTACTACAATGTGCATTTACACATCAGAGCTCTCTCTTCTTAATCTCACATTGCTTTCTTCATTCTTCCCCAACCCTGCACTTAACTTCGTGCCGCACCGGCTTTCACGAGTGTGGTTTGAGTCCTATGATTAGAACTACTACTTTAAGGATTGGTATTAGACTCACACCCTCTTTTTATTCCCTCCTGAGTCACGTTCCTTCCATGAAAGTTTCCAATATGAATTAAACTAGAAATTTACATCAAGCAATGTTGCTGTAATGTGACTCCTCCTATTCCTAGTGCATTATATTGATAAATAGACTACTTAGAAAAAAACACACAATTTAGCAACAGGCAGGCGCTGAAATAGTAAATAGAGCCTAGATTTATCTAAGCCAAGATATTCCAAACAGCTAAGATAAGCCTCTGTTTTGATGGGTTTCATTCTCCCCATCACAGGCTCTTTATGCATCAGCACAGTTAAAAATACTCTATTTTGCCACTCTCCACAGACACATACGCTGAGGTGACAGGATGAAATGCACAAAAATGAAATTGGCCTTGACAATACTTTCTTGACTTGTAGAACTAGAACCAATGTCTAACATTATTCACCACAGTCTTGTTCTACATGTTTTAATTATCATGCAATATAAAATAGTTTTTTCCTTAATAGTGGCCTGGTACTGAAAAAACAAACAAACAAACAAAAGGTTTTCATCACATCTCAGGGACAGCTTTCAATACATCTTAAGCATGCTTTCAAGAATTAAGACTGTTAATTCCGAAATGGAGGAGAACATTACAAACCTTAGTGTTAAGTGCAACCTGTGATTCTTCTCCTGAAGAAGTTCTTTTACAGTGAACATCCCAGAACCCAACAAATACATCTGGAAGAAGAGGAGTATTGGAATTGTAATTATTTACCTTTACAATGAACAAAGGCTTTGTCCACAGCACCAAAGCCCAAAATACAATTATTACGCACAAAAGCCTTGAGAACAAAAATATAATTACATATTCCCATGCATAACTAATTAAACCCCTTTAAAAATTAATAAATTTGGTAATTTATCAAAAATCCTGTTTCTACCGGAGGACAATAAGCCCTTTTCTTTCTCTAGGATTTGAGGGGAGGCACCTCAATATATACAAGCTTAGGCCCAGCAATACAGGAACACTGAAAGCAATGACTGAATGGGACTCAGACTGACTAGGTTGACACTTCATACTCTCTCCCTGACCCAAACTTGGCTCTTCCTGAAGAATGCACCTCCTCAGGAGGTATTCCTTTTTCCCCAGAGCCTCCCCATGATGCACTCTACAGAGATGCCCTGCTACCCCTGAGGAAGCCATGGGAAAGCAGGCATGTGGGACCTGAAACAGCAATCTGGGCAACAGTCCAGAGTGAGTTGCCTACAGATCCAAGTACTTACCTGGGAGAGCTGGCACTTGGACTTTTTTCAGTAAGGGAATAAATCTTACACCTGAACAAAATCACTAAGGGATCAGGGCAGGGGGACTTCTGAGAGCAACGCAAAAAAATTATCTAGGCAAAATAGCCCAGAGAACCTGTGTGTCAGGAAGCCAAGTGCATGGGTGCTCTCCTGTAAGCAACCTTCTACTCAGAATCAATCTCCTGCTTCATAAAAACACTCACAAATTTTGGTATTGTGGAATTTTAGATAATGGTAGTAATAAGTGTCTCTGAGACAACAAATAACCATTTTTCATAATGAATTAGAAAGTGCTCCAAAATAGTTAAGTTTCCTCTGATGTTTTTCACCTTGAATTTGAACTTGTGTCCCCTGCTGAGAAAAAGGTGGCTTTAGTGTGGGCCCGTTTTTTACTAAATTAAGTTTTGGACACTGCAATTATGATTTTTTCATTATTTTGGATTAAAAACATTTAATGGCAAGTTCTATCTTACAATTTGTGATCCTCTGCAAAAATACTACAGGGAGTCCAGGGGGCTTTTGTTTTCTCTTCCTCCCATTTCACACAACGTGGATTAGAGGCCAGTAGCAGCCTCTGGTAAAATCTAATCTGCCTGCCTTCGTCACCAGCTTGCATCTAAATTTTAAGCAGTGAGAGAAGTAGACTTCTAAGGTCCTGAAACAGACTTCTAAAGTTCCTAAACTTAAACAGACATGATTGCTCCCTGTGGAAAACTTCCACCAGACTGTGCCTAGTACACATGGAATTTAGCAGCTCCATTTATAAGGACTGTTTCATTATGGGTCCAACATTTTGGCACAGGTTAGAAGCCTCAGTTAGGGGTACTGGATCCCATTTGTTATCTAGTTCAGTAAAGAGGTCTACAACAGAAGAGAGTAAGTGACAGAACCTCTTAATTTAAATCAGTGGTTCCCAAACTTGCTGCCAACAAGCCTTATTTGAGAAAACTGGCAGTGCTCCCCACTCTGCCAAGTCCATCTCGCAGCATTTGTCCCTCCTTCCCCTACCCACGTTGCTTTCTCTAGGATAGATGCTGCTACCCCTTTGCTTTCTTCCACAAAAGTTACTAGTTTTATCTCCTTGCCTCTTGTTTCCTTGCTCCACACTGACTGGGGAGGCAACAGAATAAAGAAAACTTACTGTTCCCTGAGATCTATCTTTGACGTCATACACGGAGAGTTTGATTTGTGTCATTTGATTGATAAGAGAGTCTTGGAAAAAGGCAATGCTGCTTAGAAAGATAGGATTACTTGTTCCCTGTAATAAACAAAAAAGGCAAAATTTAATGCAAGGTGATATTTGTGAGGAAGAAATGCTCCTTGTGTTAGCTTCAATTTTAAATCTAATCCAGGAGTACCTCACCACTTACCTCAATAATTTCTGTCTGTGCATGCTTTGTCCAGAACGCCTGAGGAGGTGTAGTTACACTCACTGCTACAAAACTATTTGGTTTTCGATCTAGCGATGGAGTTAGCAGCTCACTGCAAGCTTTAGGTATGCAACAGATAAATAAATTTAGATTCAGGATCTTTTTCATATTGCTGTAAGACTCTACATTTTTATAAAAGCATATTACATACGCTGAGCAATAAAGCCATGAAGAGCCTAATACTCATTCTACTGCCACACTATAAAGGCAGACATCACTCACCTTTGTGCATGCAAACAGTAAACGTGCAATCAGCTCAGCCTGGCTCCAAGCTGTAGAGCTGTAATTTAAACTTGTTCTCTTCTAACACCTGCCTATCCATTCCCCTGGCACAGCTCATTAGAACAGCATACGTGCATAGGTCTTCCTCTGGGAATCTCATGAGCATGGCTGCATTTGATTTGAAGTCACGCTCCATTAAGCCCATTACCAAATGGCGTTTTGCCATGGAGAACCAATACAAGGAGGACAACTAGCTTGTAATTGTAAAAGGACAGCAATTTATTTCCTCTAAAATGTTATTGTGAGTTTAACTGCTGGGAAGGGACTATGGTGAGTAGGAAACAACTACCAAAAATTTCAGTGAGTGACTATACAATTACATTAAACTTCAGAGCCAAATTCTATCTAGCCAGATAGAGGTAACTACAGTGTGGTCTGACTCTGCTTCAGCTAGATGCAGAAAGTTAATTCTAAAATTTACCTGGGCAAGCAAAATGTTCGAATGCACACTAAACAGCTTTGCAGTTCTAGTTATTTTTAATTTATCTGAAAATATTTTAAGTACCTTATTCAGCTCTAAGGAGTTCTTAAGATTATTATTTATAACACAATTACATACATCTGAGAAAACTTTCTAGTTTTGCATTTCAAACATACTGTTAAGAGCATAACCTTCCAAACATTAGTCCACTATTGAGCCAAGAAAACCATGCTGCAGTTGAAAACGTAGACTGAATTTTCATGAAGAAAATATTTTTCACTTATTCTTCAAGTGAGGTCACAAGTTTCTTGTCCAAATTTAACCATCCCAGAAATTAGGTCACTTCTGCATCTCACATTATCACTTGACAGAAAAGACCAAAGGAAAGAAGGTATGTGTAATAGTTGGTAACTCTTAGAAAATATTCTGTCCTAAAATGGTGTTTCCAGCAAATCTTCAGTTTGCTTGAAGACCTGAACTGCTGATTATACTGAGACTGAAGACAGTTTCACTGTATCTTCACATAAACAAAACAAACATTTAAAAATAACATTCACAGAGTAAACATTTAAAATTTTATAGGACAGATGTTTTAATTACAGACTTTTAAAAATATCACAAAATCAAACTGCTGGTTGCTTATCAAAAGATACTGTACAGGCAGCAAGAAAACTGTACCAGATCTCCATAAAAATCAAAGCAAAGTTTCAATCCTTACTATATGAAAGGCACTTCAAAATCAACAATTAAAAAAAAGGCATACATACTCAATAGCACATATCATCAAAATTAGCATAAAAATCATTAAGCCTACCTAAACTGAACTCTAAAATTGGCTCATCTGGATCCTGAATGTTTCCTGTAAATCAGAAAAATTAACACAAGATTAGCCAAACATTGCTGTCACGTGAATCCTTTCCTAAAGTTGCAGTCATACAGGGAAAGAAATTAAATTTTATAGAAAAAATTAATATTTTTAATTCAATGAGCCATGACTGGTATTTAAAATATTTATTAGCTAATCTTTGGTATCTCAAAATGATTTGAAAAACCTGAGATGATCTCATTTTATAAAACATGTTAAAATATGTAAACCTATGCAAGATTATATGGAATATGGGAATATCAAATGCCCAATCTCAGTAGAAAACAACAGGATTAAAGCCACTTAGTGTCTGAACCACTATTAACTCCAAATTATTAAATCAGATACGTCTCCTCTGTGGTCAGTGAATAGGGAGAAGTTTGAAAGTACCTGTCTCTCTCACTAATCAAAGAAAGCCTCTTGGGGTTACAATCCTAATTTACTCACCGTACAAGATGAGGGAGATAATTCTCAGTTCCCTGAACTCTCTTGAAAATTTTATACAATGTCAAACAAGGAGGTTGCCAAGACTCTTCCTCGACCTTGACATTCTATTGTTGTTTTCTCTCCCTGTAGTTTATTTTTGACTGATAAACATAACTGTACAGAATCTAGTTTAATTTCTTTTTTTCCTTCCATCTCCAATTTTAATGTTTTGTCTATTTTAAAAATGGTAAGTTTAAGATTTTTTAATTTTTTAGTATAATTCCTTTATCTCATCTAAACACACATCTAAATCTTCTAGCAATTAAAAAAAAACCCCAATGTTAGTACAAGGTAGATTCTGAAAGGAGCAACAGAGCAATAGCTGGCATGAAGGTACATACCTGCTAGAGAAAGGCCTAGCAAGTCAGAGGTGACATCAATGGTGGAGGCCCGTTGCACGGTGCGGGATTTTGCACCATGGCGGGGGCTGTGTTCTCTTGCTGTCATTTTGTCATGAAGAACCCTTCTTTTCTTGCTGCTTGGCTTTACTGATGTTTGTCTTACAGAGTAGCAGAGTGCAGCAGGTTGTCTCCAATTGCTATTCCTCTAACATTACCACGCTAAGCAATAAAGAGAGCAAAAACATACACCAAAATTTTAGGCCACTATCAGCTACTGTTCTTTTTAACAGCAGCAAACCTACTGCCATAAAATTGCCTCAGGTCATTCAAATAAAACGCTCAAGGCCGATCCAATGCACAGTAACTCAATTTGCATGAACCGTACATCTGTAGCTTTTTACTGCAAATTGTTGAAGACTGTAACACATGTAAGAAAGGCCCTTCTGTCAGAGAATGGGTGTTGAGAGAGACTTGTTAACAGACCAGCTGCCCTTCTCCTTTGTCTAAGTTATTAAACCATCCTTAATGAAGTTTCCTGGTTTTCATAATCCCTGGGGAACACAAGTAAATTCGTCAGATGGGGCCTCTGTCTGTAGAGGTAGGTCAAGGGATAAGGACAAAGGGACAATGGGTCGGCAGAACACAGAAAAAAAGGGCAGGAAATGTTGTTAGTGTCAGCACACTGTGTCACTCCAGGCTCTGCTGCCATGAGAAAGGGATATTGAAAACTATAAATAAAACCTACTGGGCCAGAGCGAGGCTGAAATTCTGGGATGGCGATGGAAAGAAAAAGCAAAAGGGTGTCGTGCTAGGAAAGAAGCACACAGCCTACAGAAAATTTGGTTACATGTTAAACGTGGTGCTTTTGGTTTGGCTGATAAATTTGAATGTTCCTTCTGTCAGCCACGTTAGCACTGCAGTTATGGAACTTCCGTATTTATTTCATACTATTATGACAAAATCCATTCATTTAGGAAGTGAGATTAGGAGCAAAATCTGATAAAACTGAAAGGTAGTAATACGGTGACTAATTCCTCTTCGGTTGAGGGACCTAACAACAGGCAAGATGTATTCTAATTAAATAAAACACCTAGCTTTTACTTGTGTTTTAAATAGGCATTTTAAAACTGTCTGAAGGCCTCCAAAGGAACATTCAACCTGCCTAACTTAAGTCTCTAAATTTAACTAGTCAGCATCTCCCTCTGGAGGATTTCAAAAGAATCTCCCTCTCTCCACAGGGGACTCAAGCATCTTCTTAACTAGCACTGGTTCACTGGACATCTAAAATTCAGATGCAAGTTAAGCATCTAAGACAACTGAATTGAACACAACCCTGGCCATCTACATGAGCTTAGGAATGAGATTTTAAATGGGGAGCTCATTCTAGGGAGGAACGAATTTGGGCCGTGTCCACCAGATGGGCCAGTCTATTGCTACTCAGAACTAATAATTTGCCTCAGTGATTCAACTCAGGTTTATACAGTATGTCATAAGCCAACTCCAAGTAGGAAAAAAGTAAATTCTTGAGTGGAAGAAGCAGTAATTGAGACCTCTGAACGTCCCATCCCCAAAAGCTTTGAAACTCAGTGACAGCATACAAAATAACATTCTGCTTATAGATATAATTTATCACAGCCAAAAATTAAAGCAGGCAGTTTTCCAATTCATACGGAATCACAGAATGGTTGAGGTTGGAAGGGATCTCTGAGTTCATCTAATCCAAACCCACTGCTCAAAAGCAAGGTCACCCAGAGCAATTTGCTCAGGACTGTGTCCAGATGGTTTTGTACACGTGGTTAAGTGGCTAGTGAATCACCAGTCTTTCTCAAATAGTATTGAATGTCCTAAGATTTAGTCAAATAAAACTTCCATCAAAACTCTTTGCCAGTTTCCAGGTCTTTCCATTCTACTAATTTTTTTTCCCTTCTTTCAGCAATAGGTTTTCCTTGGTTTGTTCTCTATGTAATGTGATGTTTAATGGTTTGTAAGTCCATTAAATCTAACTGACTAATGAAACAGAACACCTACAGAATGTGCTTGCAGAGATTTAGGCAGGATGCCATAGCCCCTTCCCCCAAATCCTACAAATACCTTATTAGAGAATAACTAACACATTCACATAGGTACAGTTAGGTTAAAGAGACCAGTTGTTTTTCAGCTAAAATCTCTGTAGTTGCTGACATCCTTAAAAAGGGTCAATCCTTGAGAAGTTAAAATAGGGTCAGGTATTTTCTTTGTTTTGAAACTATTTCTATTTAAATATTACTGAGCGTAATAATTTTCCAAGGCTCTCTAAGTTCTCAACTGTTCATTTAAATTGCAATATTAATTTCTCACCTAATGATACATTTTTAATTTACTTACACGGATCATACTTACAGAGGGCTCTTTTGCTCATGTGTGGAGGGATTTTGCGTATCATAACATCAGTTAAGTCCACATCTAAAAAATTAACAATATAATCAGCATAAATAAGCAATCTTTTTATACAGCATAAATCACAAACAACGAGCAGGTACCATCCTCAGATTAACTGTAAATTTAACTTCTGATTACTAGCTCTCACATTAAAGTTTACTGAAAATAGAAAAAGAGTATGATCCTCTGCCGGACCTCACCCAGCACTAGTCATAGCACTGGTCAGTCAGAGCAGGAGCACAAAGAAATAAGCTTATACTGAAAAGGACTGACTTCAGGTCAGCGTTTGGTGAGTGGGTGGAATGGCTGTAAGAAACATATGTTAACATGTTTACTGAAAGGCTTGGTGCTAGTAAGAAAAAGGAATGTATATGATATGTTGAGTATGAGACAGCATTTGCTACTACGCTTGCTTTTCTATAGTTAAACTTTCAAAATTTTGCTGTTTGGAAGAGTTATAATCGCCACTGTCAGGAGAAAAGATCCTGTGTCAAAACACAGTTCAAAAGATCAGGATGTAGAGCTCTTTCTCCATTGGGTGAAATTACTATGTGAGGTAGGCTTCTATGAACAGCTAGCAATGAGCATACAGGAAAAGTTAATTATTTTTAAATCTACTACAGGTTAAATGAAGGTTTGTATTTGCTAGTGATACCATCTCATTCAAGTGCATTTGCATTGATAGGATATGCCCTTTAAGACCTCCCATGTATGCCATACTACAATAAAAGAGATGGGGAAGTCCAGTCTGAGCTTTTTGATTTAATTCCCAGCCCTACCAATTACCCCAGACTGCTTAAGAACAGAGGTATGAGCTCTTATCACTTATGGAAAGGGTTTTTTCTCACCTAAACTGCATAGGAGGCAGGTATCTGATCTCAACTCACTGCCTAGGTTGTCTATATGGTCAATGGTGAGACACAGGCACTTCCAGAGAATGAGTCACCATTTTCCAAGGTAGGTGGGATGAATCACCCCATGAAGATACCTCTCTCTCTCTAATTATAGAAAGAATTTAGATGATTAACTTAGGCCTGATGCTGCAGCTGGGCAAACTGGATCCCTCCCACAGTCATGCTAGCTCAGGCAGGGATGACTTCCCTCTATTCACTGCATAGCCTGACAGACCCAAACGACCGGTGCTCTGATCACTCTCTTGAATTACAAACTTTTCAACCATTACAACTTCATGATCATGTTTTTGATAGAAATCAATGGAGGTAGGATGCCTACCAAATTAAAGGTAGTATTAACACACTGGATAGTTTCCTTAGATGGTACCAAAGACTGGTACCACTCCTGCAGCCAGCAATCCCAAAGGCTGATGTAATTCATGTCCAGGCAAACCTCACCTTGAAGATGGCATGATGCATCTACACATAGCCTTTGCCCTTACTAATACTGCAGACAGTGGATGCTGGCAATATGTGCAGCTTTGCACTTCATGAAGTTTTGCTGGAAGCTCAGTTTTCAACTGTGGCTTCAACAGAAGTATGAAAAGGTGTTGTTGACCCCCAATACCAGTAATGGTCATTTCCACTGTGCAGAAAAGGCTTCTGAACAAGCCTCCCTTCTGTTATGTGAATATTTATTTGGTGCTCTATTAGCACAAAAGCACATAACCAGAAGAAAAGATCTTCATCAGATGCCACTTCTGGCCTGCTACCTTCAGTCCTGGCAGTTAGCTGTGGGAAGCAAATGCCACTCTGCTCAGCTGCATGTCCTCACATCCTATGGGCTTGAAACTTTCAGACATTTGGTCTCATTCGGACTGCTTGCAAGATCTCAAGCAAAAATGATGATCATCTCAGCCCCAAAATAATCCCTTGATGATTAGCTTGTACAACTACAAGCTAATATTCTCCTTATCGCCACAACTGTTTTGGCAAAGTGCTTTGGTCTGTTCCCTTCTTGAAAAAAAAAAATCTCCTACCAAACTACCCCTCGAAACAAGCGTGTCAGCTGAGGTCAAACCTTTTTTCACCCTAACACCTACTTTTTTGACACTCGTTACACAGCTGTAAGAAACAGAGTTTTCCCAATTCACACATCAAGAAGCAGGAGAAAGAGGCTACTCCAGTTATAGTCCAAATTAAAATCTACTTTGAGACTGTACTGTTCTACAGCTATATTGCTCTGGGCTTACGGCATTTATCAGGTAGAGAGGCATGCCAAAGCAGAAAATGCAACAGCAGTGGAATGCTAAATGTTACTGATACAACTACATGAAGAGAGTAATAGAGAAAGGCGGAGTACGACAGCTTCTTTAATGCATTAAAAAAAATGTCTGGGAATGCAATCCTGCTAAAAGTTTACCATCACCTCCAAGGGGGAGTGAAAAAGTATTTGTGGGGTACTTATTGAACTGCAATTAGTTTTACCACTCTCTGGACTGTGAGGTCCACTCTCTGGACCTTACAAATTAGGGTTCCTGTTCCTGAACAATCTATTCTGAAATAACAAAAGGGCTCCTCCAGCCAACTGGATACTTCAGATAACATCTTTGTAAAAAGTTTCTCCTAGTCAGGTTGAAAATGTTTTAGCAATACACTGAGTGATAAAAAAAGTAGAAATGAATTCTGCCTGAAACAGTAAGTATTTTGGATCTAGAACATGGCCAAGTTTCGAACTAACATCTTATTAACTATATCATTGCGGACAAAATAATGGAAAAGATGAAATATCAGACTCTGCTAAGTTATGACTACGTTGCCTTCCATGTAAGAGTACCAACTCTAGTATACCTACCAGATAGATTTTTTTTCTTTTTTTCTTCTTTTTTACCTCCAACCATAGAAAACCTTGGTAGTGAAACAAGATTTGCCATGCTGGCTCAAGACCAATCTTCCAGCAATTCCAGCATCCCATCTCCAACAGCTGTTTCAAAGAAGATGCAAGGATCTCCTTCAGGGTCTGAGGTGAAGATCTGGACCAACCCTATCACTCATGGCTGCAGAGGCAGACCAAGAGCAGAACATCAGCTCAAGGACAGCAGCTCCCAGCAAAAGCCTGCTAAGACCGACACTGATTAAGAGCTATTTTTTTTTACAGTCTCATGAGCGCTTCTCTCTTCTGTCTCATTTAATGAATGTTCTGAATCTCACACAGATCACCACAAAAGGAAAACTCAGAGCCATGAGCTTGACACCTTGAATCAGATTCTTCCTGCCGGCCAAACTGGTGGGGGCGGCAACACAGACAACATCTACTGCAGATCCACTGGCTGACAACAGAGTTTCACTCCCCTTTAGTTACCCCATGATCTAGGACATCCCACTTACCATGCCCCTGGGAAGGCAAAAGAAAGTAAGTGGTGCCAGCATCCATTATGGACCTTTGCCTCCAACTGAAATGACTTCCCCACCAAGAACATGCTCGGCAGGTGCTAGTCCGTCAGCTCCACAAAGAGGCTGTATTCCCCCCTCTCAGTCTGCCCCCTAAGTCTAGGTTCCCCTCTCAAGCTGGTTCCATGTCCCCCTCTCCCACTGACCAGAATCTTGATTACCAAGGACAAAAATATGTTTGCCCTGAAGAGTCTTCTTGTCACTCTCTGAAGCCCTCCTGAGGATTCTGAGCAAGTGGGTGACCTCAGCAAGAACAGGGAAAAGTCTTCCACAAGAAAATGAAATAAACTACCGCAAGATACAATGAATGTATTTGTGCAGCGTGGAAATCCCCAAATGCAACCTTTCAGTGATATTTAGATAAAAGGCCATTTCAGCAGCAGAAAGTAGCTTGCTTTCTCTTTGCCTTCCTGTCCACCCTCTCCCACTTACTTAGAGAAATCTGTAAGTCACAAACTTTCTTCTTGATCCTTCCCCCTATGAACTTCAGCAAACTCAATTAATCTAAAAATCTAATTTTATCTCTTTAATACATTTGAGTACTTTTAATAGAAAACTGTAATTTAGGCCACTTAGTTCTTTGTGCAAATTAAGACTATTTGTCTATATTCACAAATGAAATACAATTAGGATTCTTCTTAACTTAATGAGATATTGTTTTAATTTCATTTGTCATCACAACAGTTCTATTTCTTCAGTACTCCTTCTATGAACACAAAAATATGCACACCCACAGGTAGAAGCAAGCATTTGTAACACACGTTTGCTAACTAAAAAAGAAAAAGCACACCTCTGGTTCACTTTGCAGAACAGCTTTTATCAAGTTGAGCACAGCATAATGCTATGGAAAATGATGAGTCTTGCTACAGAGCAGTTTGAAGCCCAACACTCTCAGCCTCCTCCGTTGTTTTACCAACAGAAACTGAAACAGCTTACAGTCTTTATTCTAAATTTATCTTACCCTCTTCACAAGAACCATGCTGGGTACATTGTGGTGAAGTTTCCTGTGCATGGGATGACTTTTCTCCTCATGACCTGGGGTTCTCACACTACCCATACAGACATGGAAAAGCCCATGAGAACAGGGGACGTACTTTCTGTTGAGGAGTTTGGACTGGAAACACATTTCTGAATTAGATGGTCCTTTGGACACCCTCCTAAAGCCTGCCTCTTCTAAAGCCTTCTTTCATCATAACCATGATGCTCACAGTGCAGAAATAGCATTGTTCTAACTGGAAAAAACAGAGAGTTTAACCCCCTCTCTGAGCTCGTCCTGCTGCAGGAAAGGGTGGGGTAGGGGAACAAAGGCAGAAAAACAAAAAACCCCCACCCCAACAGTTTATGACCTGAAATGGAGATGAACTAGACACACCTTAACATTTGCTAAAGATTTCATATTGCTGTTGATTACAGACGGATGGCAGTAAAATATCCTCCAGCATACAGGCAATGAAAGAGGGGGACCACAGAAGACACGGAGGGATAAAAGCACTGAAACTAGATCTGTAATCAGTAGTTTTGGTCGAGCTTGGATTACAACAAAAAGTCTAGGGAACTATCTGTTCTATCTGCCTATAATACTCATCCACTTCACAGACTAACGTAGCACTAGTTAAAGCCAGTGTATTCTGGTCAAAACAACCAGCAGTTAGCACTGTCCTCTGTGTGTCTGATGGGATC